TTTCCTTCCCTACACCTCTGCTGAGAACAAAAGCCTGCCAGAGGCTGGATTAGCCCCTGTCAAGAGAATCCCAACCGCCCGAAGCATCGGAGCCCTCCTATAGCAGTAGAGCTAGGAACACGCCCATGTATCTAGCCTTGGAGTACTCTGAGTTCTTCAGCACCACAGCTGTCGGACAGCGCCCGAGCGCTTTGGCTAATACCCGCTCTCTGGACCCCTCCCCTCTTGTCCGTGGCCTTCGATCCGGCGAGCGTTCCCTTCTCTTCCTCACGCCCCACTGTTCAAGCACCCTAAAAATAGAGGTGTACTTACATTTCCCCTGCCTTAATGGTCTCAGATTCTGTTTCCTCTCTCACGCTCTCCGGCGCTAGCAAAGATGGCTTTCTGCTTCTGTTGCAAACAGCCTCTCGGTATGGTAGGCACTGTTGCTGAGGCGGAGGCACCTGCTACTGAGCATGCCTGCACTGCACCTCTCCTTCTCCCTCCCGCTAAGAAGCAGCGGCAAGGTGTCGCTGGCTTGCTACCTCCTGTGTCCGGAGGAGTTCCCCTGGGGGTTTGAGAGGATGGATACGTCCTCCTGCTTCTTCCCCAGAAGGGAGGCAGAGGGAGGGGAAGAGAGATCATAGAGCTGTGCTAATAAAGAGGTGGGGGCATATTATTTTTATTTGTGTCCCACCTTCTTCCAGTGAGCCTAAGACAGATACCTAAGACTTCCATCCCCATATTATCCTTTCGGTGAGGTATGTTGGGTCCAGAGGGTGTGAGGAACATGTAATCACCCACTGGATTTTGAGGTCAAGTGAGATTTGGAATCCAAATCTCCTAAATCCAGTCAAACACCCTAACGTCTCCACTCCATTGGCTTTCCAAACATCTTATGTGTTGTGGTGGGTGAATTACTCAGAAAAGACCCCCATTTAAAATTATCCATGGACTCGTCTTCCCCATGTCTGTGTATGGGAAAGAAGCAGGAGGACCCAGAAGTCCATGCCTTCAAGTTCTGAATAAATCATGTCATGTGGCTGAGTCCTGGTGAGTCCTGGTCTGGACAACGACCATACCATGTCCTAAAACTATTTTATCCAACCTCGTCTCCTCCAGACAAATGAGGCTATATCTCTATCATAAACCAGTTATATGATAATTGGCAGTGCTGACTGAGAATGAAGGGACCAGTTTGGGGGAGGCTGTGCTAATAAAATGTTTCAGATTTCCTCTGCAAGCTGCATAATTGAACGCCTCCCTGCCCTTGAGCCACCTGGCACTAGAAAAGTAGGATTGTAGCTGAGCGTGTCCACTAGCACAATAATCACTTATGCCTAGGGTGATGGTTTCTTATGTCAGACCATTCCATAACTACAACATGTAATTTTCACCATGAGTCTGAAAATGTTGGATCCAAATTTAGTTTTATTGTGCAACCCTGACATTGGATGCAATGGCACAGATCTGAACTACCATAGACCTGTTTAGTCAATGGAAACTTAATAAGTATGCCAACATGTAGATTTCATTGATTCAATTGGTCTGTTCTTGCAGGGATTAGAAATTGGATTTAGGCTCTCCACCATCACAAAAGTGTTGTCTTTATATAATAAGCAGTGGATCCATACAGTAAACATGCACCTACAGCAGGTTCATTACACGAGGATTCCACCAGGCACTGTAGAAATTGTAACAGATGTCTGTCACACATTTACCCATGTATATTGTTCTTTTTAAAAGAACAGCAGCAGCAGCAGTAGAGGTATCAGCCTTACCACAAAACAAATTGAATTTGGTTGCCCTTTGCTAGGCCAACCAAAAAGACAAAAAAAAATGTGCAGGCTTTATTATTTCTTCATCAGATCAGATGTTAAAAGTGAGCAAGGGGAAGGAAAGTGGGGGAGGCTAGATGTGAAGTCTTTGGAATCTGCTGTATTCTCAGGAATTGATGGAGGTAGGATACTGCAGACAGAAAAAACCAAGCCTTGTCAAATTTATCAAGTGAATTTGGTGTTTATTTATTGGCCATATTTATATCCTGCCTTTCCTCTAATGACTTCAAGGTGCTATTCATTACTCTCCTCCTTCCTGAATTCTCACAACAAACTTGTAAGGTGGATCTGTCCATGACTGACCGACCCAATATCAGCCAGTGGTTTTTTTCATGAATTAATAGTTTGAACTCCCCAAGTTCCGGTTCATCACTCTTAATTTTTGTGCCACTTTGGCTGGCTTTGCATATCTATAGAGAGACGTGAAAACAGTCCTGTCTTTTGCTTCTAAGCAGATAAAATTCTGTAGTTTAAAAGAAATAGCAAGATCTTGACTAAAAGGTTTAGGATTTTGCTTCTAGGTTGTTTTTAAAGGCGTAAGATTGGTTGGAAATGTTTTTTTTTTAAAAAAATTAAGTTGTAACAGACTGCTGGAAACAGGTGTATACAGACAATATCTGGTTTTTAAAATAAGATGTTGGTTTAAATTATGGTTTTAAATCTTGTTTTTCCCTTTCCTGATAATGCTCTCAGTGGCCAATAGTCAGGAGGGAAATATACTGCCTTCAATATAAGAGGCAGTGTGGCAAACCTGTCTGATGCAGTGGACAGAGTTAGACTAGAACTCAGATTATCTGGGTTCAGATCCTTGCTTGGAGATGGAACCATGCCTGGGGGATGGCAATGGTAAACTTTTCTTTAAACATTGCACATACTTAGAAAGCCCTGTTAGGGTCATTGTAAGTACAAAGTAACTTGGTAGAATGTAAGTACATGATCTTTGTATATCTGTTGTTGATAACAAGAACAGAAGGGTGCTGTTGCTTTCTTAGCCAGCTTATAGGCTTCCCCCAGTAATTTATTTATTTATTTGATTTATATCCCACCCATCTGGTATATTTATACCACTCTGAGCGGCTAACAACAAAAAAATATACAATTATAATAAAGTAAAACCTTTTATTAATCAGTGGAGATGGGAACTTGCATGTGATTCTTTTCTTCCACAATGAATTTAACATGCTGGAGGTAGAAGACATGCCTTTGATTTCACAATACACCAATAGAGCATTCTTAGAAATTTACTAGGTCCTAGCATATAATTTTCTTTCTTACTCGGGAATGGAAGGGTTCTTCCAAACAGTGTAAAAGTTCCATTTTAATTATTTATGGTTAATTGCAGTTTATCTTGAGAGATATTGGGGCTTTCTGGCATTTGCTTCTGCACCAAGGTTTTAAAAGCTACATCTCAAAAATGCTTTGCTTTGAGAAGACTGAAATATTTGTTCAAAACTGACACTTCTGCTTTTCATCTGCAGCTGCTAATCTATATCTATATCTATATGTGGTGTGGCATTTGCCTAGGGTGCAGGAGATGTTGATTCAAATCCCTGAGGTTTTTGCTGAAATGAAAGGCAGCTCCTTTTGAGCAGCACCATTCATTTAACTGTGCAGGAAGATTTCACAATGATTTCCTTGCTTAGTATTTTAGTTCAAACCATCTTAAATCCGAGCATTGTGGGAACCAAGGTAGCCACCAAGTGAGGGAATTATAGCGGAGTTGAAGACATGACTACTCAGAAATAAACATCTTTATTTCAGTGAGGCTTTTTGCTAGGTAAATAAGTATAAAATTACTTGTTTTGCTACTCAGTCTCTGGTAGCTGTTTTTCCACTAGGCTCTTATTATCATGTTTAAAAATATTTATTTATTTATTTATTTATTTATTTATTTATTTATTTATTTATTTATTTATTTGACTTTTATGCTGCCCACACTACCCAAAGGTCTCTGGGCGTATTAAAATACAGTAAAAAAGAGAAAATAATTAAAATGCAATTAAAATATATACTCTAAAAATTGCCATCAGGACCTACTTAAGGCTAAGTACGAGTAGCACTATTTTTAATGAAGCAGTTGGACAAACCTGAAAGTATGTTGATTTTTTTGATATGCAGAGACATGAAAGAGAAGTCTGAAGCTGCATGATGTATAATTGGAATTTAGAATATGAGAAGTATGAATCAAGTTAGCTAGAAACTGTACAAGAAATGGAATGTCTCAGCATTGTAATACTTGGTGTGAGTGAATTAAAGAGAGTGGATTCGGATATTTTCTGTCACAATTACCAAGTCTTTTACTCTGGACATGATGAACTCAGAAGGTGTCAGGTGGCTCTAACAGTGAGGTGTGATGTAGCACAAGTAGTTTTGGACTATAATCCAAAGGCTGACTAATTAATGCCTATGAGACATTAAGGGAAGCCCATTAGTTCATGTTCCAGCTACAGAAGGAAGAGAAAGAAACTGAAATCTCTAATGCAGAAAACTGGCTGCTTGATAATACAGTATGTGCTGCTAATCATAGGTAACAGGAATGTGAAAGTAGGAAATAAAATAGAACCGAATATTGTAAGAGGATTTGGCCATGGAGTGGGTGAGCACCCCTGCTCCATCAAGACACAGAGAGTTTTTGCAGGAATAGGCTGTTTTATTAGAGCAAAACAACTGTCAAGGAGCCAACATGGCTCAACAACAAAACTTAAACAGTTCTATGGCACCACAGAGTTAATTGCACTCCCAGGTTAACTGCACCTGTTCAGGTCAACAGGATCAGTCTACATCAGTCTCTTACTGGGAGGAGCAGAGCCCCTCCTCCTCACCAGTTCAAGGACACCTCTCAGGTGTTCTAGGCATGGAGTGCCACAACAAGATTGTTGGATGCAAGCACTCAACAGTTCCTGACACAAAGGAGCCTGGGCTCCTTCCCCAGCTACTCCTTGGTAGTCACCACTAGGAACAGCTGCACCGTATGTGCAGTACTCCTCCTTGGAGGCAGGGCCAAAGTTTCATGGACATGGTTGGGCTCACATGTGTAACAAGGTGTGGGAGGAGGCTGGATAGGAGGAGGACCAGTACTGGGAGTAAATCCTGTGGGAACTTTGCAGTGAGGCTGCTTGCACCTGTTGCTTCCCCTGCCAGCACCCTGCCCTGCACTGGTTCTTCAGCTGCTTTGCCTCTTACCTTCTGGCCTCATCACAGGCTCCCTCCTCTGGGCATGCAAAGAATTCCTCCCAATGCCCAGTGTCAGGGTCCTGGGGATGGATCAGCTCCCAACTGGCTGTCAAGTGCTGTGGCAGTGCTGGTACCTCCTGGACCTCAAATGCTTCCCAGTCAATGGTGTCTGCGGAACAATCCTCTCCTTCCTCCTTAAATCTCCAGCCCTCCATGTCCACACGTGTACATGGCATCTAAGGCATCGTCATATCACTGTCCCAGTCCATAGGTGAACTGCAGGCCAAGAATCTTGCCCCTATTCTTGGGGAGGTGGGAAGCCTACTTTCACCAACAGGGAAATCAAGGCTGTTCCCACAGAGTTAAAAATGAGGCAGGAAAACAAGTCATAGAATTCTGTGAAGCCAACTGTTTGTTTACTGCAGTGGTTCTCCACCTTGTGTAACCCAGGTGTTCTTGGACTGCAGAAACCCCAGCCAGCACAGCTGGTGGTGAAGGTTTCAGGGAATTATCATAAAAAACACCTGGATTTGGATGGGTCACCCAAGATTGGGAACCACTGGTTTACTGGAAATAAATTATTGTCAATCAGTGTATCACTAGATCGCCAGTATAGACATCCATTAGACCAGTGGTTCTTAACCTTTGTTACTCGGATGTTTTTGAACTGCAACTCCCAGAAACCCCAGCCAGCACAGTTGGTGGTGAAGGCTTCTGGGAGTTGCAGTCCAAAACTCCTGAGTAACCCAAGGTTAAGAACCAGTGCATTAGACTATACAATTGGAAACAGAAGGTGGAAAAAGCCTAATCTGCCTGAAAAGGACTAGAAAAGGACTGTGGCACATATCATGATCTATCACAATAAGAAATAGGATAAAGCTCAAAAATAAAAGTAAAACTGTAACAACAGCACCATAGTCAGGAAAGAATGAAGTAAAACTATTCCTGTAGCCAAAAGAAAAGAAAAGCCATGGTGGATGACTGATGAAATTCTTCTCCATTCAATAGTTAATAATAGATAAAAAGTATTAAATCAGAAGTGACTCAAAGGGACATAACTGCAGCTTCTGGTTCATTAGTATGCACAGTTTATATGCTTATCTGCTAGAAACAATGGTAAATCATGGAAGACTCACCACTTTGGTAAGAGCAAAGTGGGAGTCCTTCAGTCACTGGTGGTATATTCTGAAAGAATGTCCCAACTCTAAGTAGAAATGGAAAGAATTCAGGGAGAAGAGCTAAATAGACCTGGTGTCCCAATTCAGCAACAGTAAGTAGCCTTGCTTACCATCTCTCCTTCTTTGGTGTGTTTTCTTTTCATTAGACTACTAGAGTTTTACTCTCTAATAAATGTGCACAGAATCGCAGGCATTTGTTGTTTTACAGGATGGGGTGTCTTTGCCAATTCAGATGTCTTGGTCTACAGCTTCCATGATCCCTTAAAACTGGCTACTTCAGCTGGGCTTTCAGAGGACTGGCTCCCTGTCCCAGTCCTGCTGGCTAGTCCTCTTTTTTAAAAGGTAGATTATTCATGCAGAAGAAAAGCATCTAGGAATGAAAATGCCCATTTTAAAAGATTATAACCATTTTAAGATCACGGTTAACACTTTTTGATGGCCTGCTTTGAGCTGTTATATTCTGAAAACCTGAGAAAGGGTTTTTTTTCTCCTGAATGGTTATTTTATTCATGTTAGCTGGAGAATTCTGAGAGTTGTAGTCAGAAGAGGTAATCTTTCCATGCTCTGGGCCAACCAGCCAGAATGCAGGCACCCTCCTCTCGTTTTCAAAGTTGATGATGCAGGAAGGTGGGGCTTAATTGCTTCTGGTAAAATCTCGACAGTTGATGGGATTCAGAAGCAACAGGGAAATTTCCAGGGTTATTTTTTAATTTCTAAAATGGTATTACCTCTCCCTATTTCAGGAGAAGGATCTGATGCAGTGTTTGCGGTAAATGTCTTTGTTAATATTACTGATAGAAAATGAAGCTACAAAAGACCTTGATCTTATAAAGTCTTTTGCATTTCTCTGTTAAATTAGGGCCTCTTAGAATTGTAATTACATAATTAGCTTCATAAATACAGACTAATTGAGACATGGCAGCCTGATGTCATTTTTTACTTCAATTCCGTGCAGGGACAGCAATAATGGGGAGTCATGCTTTAAACCCAGTTATTACTATTTGTTAAGAAAAGTTATTATTGGGAAATGAATCCAAATCTAACAAATTATTAGGATGAGCCAGAGGTACTTACCGGTGTACCAAAAGCAAGAGTAAACTGCAGGGCAAGTGCATCAGGCAAAAGTAAATATGATTACTAAAATATCAAACGGAGAGCAGAGAGACTGATGCAATTAGAGCAGCCCAAAGACTCCATCCCGGAGACTCGGTAACATGGTGCGGAAATGAAGATTAAGCAGTTGATGTGCCAAAAGGAGGGGGGGAATGCATATATGCACCGCCTTGTGCTGTAGTTTACTCCCTGGCTTGGTGTGTTCATTCCATTTCCATCCCTTCATCTCTTTTAGGGCTCAACAAAGCGAAAGTTTTCTCCACCCAAGGCTCACTGCTTTCCAGAAATGCCTTCAGGTTAGTATGTAACATGCACTCCTCTCTGTGTACCCAAAGTTGCAATCTCATGTTGCCTTACTTGTGAGTCAGATTCAAAGACGATAGGGCAGAAATAAGAGCTTGGATGGTGACTTTTTTGGAGTATAGCTCCCAGAATTCCCCAGACAGCATGGCCAGGTTTAGGTTCTAACAGTAACTTTACCAAGCACTCCTAATAATAGGGTCATAGACCTTATGTTCATCAGCACCTTTTTTTAATTACCCCACTCTATTGCTGCAACAGGCTGGAGCTTTAAGAGGGCAAAGAGAGAAAGCCAAGAAGAGACCCAAGGAGATACAAAACACTGCAGGAAGAAGAACGGACATCTCTTTAGAAAAAAGTTTTCTACCCTGAATTTCTTTTCTGGATATTCAAAAAATGTCATGTAAGTATTTCTCTTATCAACTCTTTATATTTAATGCAAAATAAGCATAGGACGGGCAGGTTCAAAACTAGATCTCTGAGTGTGATGTGCATCATTTTGAGTACATGCTGCATAAGGCTGATGGATAAAATCAAGTACTTTCGAAAGATGAAGCTCAGTGTTTGAATCCAAATGCTTTTTGGAATATAAAGACAGGTCTCATAACATGAATCATTTTCCAGGGAACCAAACACAGTGGGAGTAAAAAAGAAAGGTTGTCAAATGTTCAGCTAGCCCATGTGCCTTTAGCGGCAGCTAGGTAGAAGGAGAGAGTGCTTTTGGTTCTGTGCCATTAAAAGCTTCACCTGCTGTTAGTAGAGACAGAACAACAGGCCAGATACTTTTTCCTTCAATTAGTTAGCAACCCTAGTAATCTGATCAAGGATTCACCTTAAACAAACCAGACCTCTCAGCTCTCTTTGAATGCAAACTCAACGGCCACTCTTTACCTGGGAGTCTCAGATTACATGCAGCTTGACAAAATAATCTCAGACAAGCTGCATTTTGAGCACAACATTTCAAACATATTGAATGTTCTCCCTCTTGTGTTGAACTGCTGTATTTGAATGTTCTGTACATATTATAATATTGGAAATTAAATATTATCATAATGGATATTAGTTTAAATAAGAGGAAGAATTGAGATCAGAAATTACCCTGTTAAAAAAATGAATTCTGAATTATGACCCTTTCAAAAAAAATTAAAATACTGAATTTCAGTACCCAAGTGATATTTACTATATAATAACAAAGAGCTTGAAGAAAGGGATTTTGATTCATGAAAACACTCATGGAAATAAACCTGTTCATCTTTAAGTTACCACAATAGTACCCCCCAGTATTCCCCCCTCCTTTTTTGCCAACAGAGAGTCTTGTGGTATCTTAAATATTTTTTTAAATGTTTTAAAATGTGGGGAATATTAAGGACCTCATGGCACAGTGGTTAAACAGCAGTACTGAGGCCAAGAGACTGCTCACAACCTGAATTTGATCACATTGGGCTCATGTAGCCGGATCAAGGTTAATTCAGCCTTCCATCCTTCTGAGGCTGGTAAATTGAGTACCCAGCTTGTGGTGGGGCAATAGGTAGCCTGCAGAATTAAACTGTAAACTGCACAGAGAATGTTTTAACCACTGTGGGACAGTATATAAGAAGCACATTTAAAGATCTGAGAAAACCAAATGTTAGTATCTGACAGAGTAAGTCAAATGGTGCCACAGGATTTACACAAGTGTTGATTTACCAAATTCTCATTGTAGGTTTTATTATAGCTGGGATTAATAAATGAATTTAGTTCTGAAATATTTATTTTAAGTGGCACCTGCCACAATATATTCTTGTATGGTAGACTTCCCCCCACCCCCAAGAATGGGTATTTAGAAGCTGTTGATCCTTGAAGAACAACAAGAAATGCTGAGCAAAAATTTCTGAAAAAAACCCTTTTTTTTGGACATGATCTTTGAAGAGATGAAAGCCACAACATGTGCTGGACTCCTACCCTTCCTGGCTTAGAAATGCAGACAGAAACTGCTGATTCAGGAATGGTGAATGGTTCTTGCAGCAAGACCAGCATGCTTAAAAGAGTCAGTAGTGAAAACTTAAGTTTAAAAGTCCTCTTCGAATCATGCAGCACTGGATAATTCTCAGCTGGTCTTCAATATTCTGTTTTGGAGTGTGTGGTGGTGTCCCAGATCCACAGGTTTCTGGATGATATGGTGGGGCCACTGTGAGATAAAGAAGCTGGACCAGATGGGCCCTTGGCCTGATCCAACAGGGCTATTCTTATGTTCTTATGATGATGCAGATTATCTAGATCCATGTCAGTCTGGCTTTGGGCTTGGTTATGAAACAGAGATGGCATTAGGCACCTTGTTGGATAACCTATTTAGGGAACTGGAGTGTGGCCCTATTGTGTTGGGTCTGTTAGACTTCTCAGCAGCTTTTGATACCATTGACCATGATATGGAATGGGCCTTGGAGGTACTGATCCTGTTTGACATTGTGTAACCCACGGTCCCCCATGTTATTGAACATCTACATGGAACTGCTTGGAAAACTTAACTAGAGTTTTGAGGTTTTGTGCCAACAGTATGCTGATGACACCCAAACCTATCTCTCCTTTCATTTGATTCCAAGGAAGATGTTCTCTGCTAAGACCAGTGCCTGTTGCCAATAATGAAGAGGATGAGGGCTAACAAACTGAAACTTAATCTAGCCAAGACAGAGTTGCTCCTGGTCAGCCACAAGCCATCAAAGGATAGGGATCCAGCCTGTAATGTACATTTGATGGATGGGGCTGAACATTTTTCTAATGTTTGGCTAAACACTGGCTATTGAACTACAATATCTTTTTCAGTAAATTCTGCACTGAGTAGAAACT